TACTAAGAGGTACCTGCAGTAACTGTCTGCTATTATTTGAAATAGAATAACATTTTACCCTTGTTAATAAATAATCAGTCCTGAAGCAGGGGTGCTTTTGAGGAAGTTTCATAGAAGTTACCTTTCTTTGTGAAGCCACGGATTGGACCATTTAATGTAATCAGAAACCAGTTCTTAACTGGATCTGATTCTTGAGTCATATCTCTTCAAAGATGGCGGTGTCAGCCCATGGTGTGCAGATTAAAACATTTATCATCAAGTAAGAAACTCTGAATTTTGACCAATGCCTGCAAAACTCACCTTTATCTTTGGTAAATAGCAAATGATAACATTCTAACATGGTGGGAATAAATAATGCATTGATCAGTTCTGGTATGATTTATGTTCAAGCTGACTTCCTAGAAACCAGCCAAAATTAAAGCACTTATTATACAGACTAATAAGTAAGTCGGAGAGCTGCTGCATGTTTTGCATTCAGGAGTGGGCATTCTAAAACGTCTTGTGTACATTTATGTTCTACTGCGGCACTAAGAGCTCACAAAGAAATGAGTAATTATGGACGTGATTGTTATGTTTATCACTCTGCACCTGCAGATAAGTCACTTAATCCTAACAAACACTTCGTGAGAGAACAAAGAGGCATCTGTACAAACATTCTGGGATGCAACTCTTTTGAATCAACTTAAACCACAAAGGATGTAAGCAAAACAGAATAGGTCTCTGTCCTAATGTGCTGACCAGGGTTATCCAGTGATTTACATAAATACATGCTAAACAGAAATATTCCCCAAACAGTTCGTAGACAGCAGATATATTTGTTACTAGTAATTTACTCTAAAATCCCAGAACTGTTTTCACAAAAATCAAATCAAATGTGTTTGGTTATTTTCCTTTGGAAAGAAAACTCACCAGAGTCCACTGACTACACTGGAAAGAGGCTCTTTGGGCCACATTTGATTTGACCGACACTCTTACCATTTCAAATTAAATACACTAGAATGTGTTTCAGCTGAATAGATTTCTAAGTGAAAATGCTTAAAGACATAAGGATGAACAGTCCTTTTTACGTGCTGTACATTAAGGTCTCTGCTTCTGAAATAGAAGAAAAGCAAAGGTGCAAATAGCAGTTGTTCAGTTTTGTGCATCTTGCAAAGATAATCCTGTATAATATAAAATTAGAGATCAGAAAATCATACAAACATTTACTGAACCTGACTGTTTTCCCCAATAGACTGGCTGAGCAGCAAAAATCACGTCTGAAAAGTCTAGAGATTACAGATACAGTTACAGCTATCGCGTGCACACAAAGGGGCCGAGAGTAAGCCTGATGAGTGAGAGAGACGGAAGCTGATTTTTATTTTCACGAGTCATCCAACTATTACACCTCTGGTTAAGAAATGACCAGATTGTGCAACCCTTTATCACTAAAGGACTTTTTTGTAGCACTCAGTGGTTCAATAAGCAAGCAAGTAAGACAATTCTGTTTTCCTCTGCATTCACTCTTTTTTTTAAAGAATTATTTTTGTTGTGGTATTAATATCTTAAAATATTTTATATTATTTGAAGTGCCATGCTTTGCCATTATCTATGCTGTTTCTTTATATCTTCTCGATTGCAAGAATCTATGTTTTCCCATGTTGCAAATCATACCTGGGCTATATTTAGAAAGGTGGACGTAGAAGCAGGCTGTATTCCCTCATGTAGCTTTCTTCTTGTGAGCTGTACAGTTACTTTTTTTTTTTTCATCAACATACCAACTTCAGCAATAGTGAGGGGAAAAACATTTCTTTGTTTTCCAGATACATCAAAACATCAGGTTTATTTACCAAGGCTTTATGCAAATCAGATGACCTGCAGACTGGGCTCATGTTCAGTTTCAGTGAATAAATGCTAAGTGGCAGCAGACTTTGTAAACACATTGATGATCTGATTTGTTTTCAATGTAGCCGTCACAAAAAGAAACAACAGTGTAAGAAAAAAAAAACACAAAAAGGCTACTGTCAGGTTTGTTAAAGGTGCTTTTTTCTTCAACTTGTTTTACTGAATAGCAACCTGATAGCTCTTACAGATCTCACACATAAACCTGTGATGTGAGAAAAAATGCAGTGTCCTTAATTTACTCTCTTAAAAAATGCTGCTGTTTATCTGAAAACTTTTCAGCTCAGATCGTATAAAAGTGTATATCTGAATATCCTGTGTATCGTGAAAACACAAAGCCCCGTTCCAAACAAACTTCCCGACGTTCAGCACACAGCGGTCATCTTCCTCTTGAGCCTTCAGGAGGTGCATATCGCTGTCTTATCAAGCAGCCCTTGTGGAGATTATATTTACTCTGTGCTGCCGTAAGCACCTTTCCTGACAGATTATATGAATTAAGGCCTTATTATGGGCTCTGGCCAGGAGCTGCATGTACCGGTGATTTGTAATAAGGGCAGTGCTGAGGTGAGTCAGCAGCAACTGGCCTGATTACAGCAGCTGGACCTCAGGAGGAAAACCCGTGGCTCATCCGCGGTAAACAAACACCGCATGAGGGGAAGAACACTCCATTAGCTTCTTTGTACTTTGTAGGCAGACGCGGTTAGACAACACTTTCCATTCATAAGGATCACATTTGAAAAATGTCATCAATAATGGAATCTGTAAAGTAACTTGATGTCGCAGGAAGAAGAAAGACAGAAGAGCCATTTTGGTTCATAGGAATTAGACAATATTTTATATTCTTTTGTAGCAAAATGTTTTCACACATAAACAGTTTTTTTTTCTTGTTTTTGTCCTGGAACCTCAGGTGAGAATCATGACTATGTTGAGTCAAATACACACTTAAATTTATATCTTAGTTAGCAGAGTGGAGGGGGATGTTATATGATGTCACAAGCAGAGACGGCAGGTTAAAGGGTCACTTCACACATTCACTAAAATACATATTTCAACGTGTACCTCCAGTGTCACAAAAGCAAATGTTTTCTGGTTTTATTTGCTCAAATTCCAAAATAAGCATTCTTGAAACTTCAGATGAAATAAAACAGATGGGAATAGATTTAGGTGTCTTCTGCTTATAATGAATTCAATTTCAAAATCTTTAGCAAAACAACTTGTTTTGATCTGTAAGGTAAAATGCTCTCCACTTATAATAATGAGTGAAACTATCAGGATATAATGAGAAATTAATAGAAATGAAACCAAAAGAGGGAGGATGATTTGTTGCATGAAAGTGGACAATACAGATAAAAATTTACCTAACTTTTGTGACTTTGTTGCATCGTTTTCATTAAAACCTACTGTTATTGGCAAATTAGGCAGACAAGTGTCTGCAAACAAAACACCTGAGATACTAAAGTAACGTGCTGATGATATTGGGTAATCAGACTTATTCTGTTAAGAATAAATAATAAATGTTATGAATCACACAGTCTGTAGCACTCATTCATTTGTAGCAAAGACAAAAATCTTCAAAAATGTAAGCTAACAATTGTTTAAAAAGTTGTAATGTTTTGGCAAACATTAAATTAAGGGTAAAACGACCTTCGTTGAGGACTCAAAATCTCAAAGATACAGATTAACACTTTATTACGGGCTCAGTCATTTCTATTTTTTCTGTTCAGCATTGTGTTGGTATTCCTCAGGCTAGCAAATTCCTGCGAAAAGTTACATAGTTGGCAGTTATTCGAAGTCTTTCATACAGGTTTTCGTGGAAAACAATATGCTGGGAACAAAAACGGTTTTGCTGCTGCTGCTGAGGAATTAGTTTTTGTTCAATTCATGGATCAGATCATTTTGGAACTGAACTGGAAAATGGGAATGATTGTCAAAACAGTAGAAATGTCATTATAAAACAATATGTGGTTCTTAAAGAAGTAAGGACTAATATGGGTACTTTTCTGTCACTTTTATGCAAACAAACAAGATAATTTTGCAAGAAAAGAAAGAAAGAAAAAACTGTATATATGTATAAATCCAAAACTGCTGCGGGTTAAGTCGAACGTGGGTGTTAAGGTGAAATATATCTCTACTGATTAGAGTCACAGCACTCACAGTTGGTAAATAATTGTGTGGTGAAAGCATAGAAAGAGCAAAGAAGGCAGAAAAGTCACTGCACAGGTATGTTTATATCTAGCCTTTGCCACAATAACACAAAGAATGTTTCGTTTCATAAAGTACTCCATGTAGATTGCTTTTGTTCAACAAACTGTGATGTGGAAACTGATTATGAAAATCCATATCTGGCTACAGGCAAAAAAAGTGAAGTAAAATAATACCAATCGTAGTTTAAACATAACATTATTGCCATTACCAAGATGAATGTTATGTGCAAACACACCTACACATTGATTTTATGTCATCTATGCTCTCACTCTCTTATTTGCAAACTGTGGAAGCTGCCATGCTGACCAACAGAGACTGCCCACGAGAGTGAGCTCAACATTAAAAAGGTTGTTTTTTTTCTTTTATAATGCAAATGTAATATTTTAAATGACACAAAAGTAACTCCATGCCTCAACTGTCTCAGTCCTAAATGCACATGTGGCTTTCTGGAACAAAGTGCTATCCCTGCAACTGAATAATAAGAATAATAAGAAAAAAGTCTCATTCATCCACTGAAGCAGTGCACGAATGATTTATGTCGTTGGCCACTTTGTAGGTATTACTCTGAATTTATCATTTATTTTAGACACATTATTGGAAAATGTTTGTGCTTTTAAAATTGCTGAATTTATAAGCTCATGATTTTAAAGCTCATTTGGATATACTGTATGTCATATACAGTTAAACACACTGAATGTCAGTGCAGCAGTGTGGCTCACTGGCTAGAATGGATATACTGTATGGCATGGATACAATGCAACTCAGTATTGCGGCAAAACATGTAATATACACTCTGGTCCACCGCGTCCATTTCACGCTTTGCCTCTCCAAAACATGAAATGGACACACATACAGAAGTTACATTACCGCATTACCAGCAGGGGGAGATAATATATTTAAAGCCAAGAAGTCAGTAGTGACCAAAAAAACGTATGCAGGACATTCCAAGGTCCTTAATCGCCACAAATGATTAAGCTAGGGGGCTAATATGTATTTACATGTAAATGTGTTAATAATATCTATTTAAACACTTCACTGTGATTATTTTCAAGTTGACTTGAAATAAAATATCCCCCTCTTCTTTTACTGCAGCTTACTGGAACTTCGACATGCGTGTCCTTTTCACGCTTCGGAGAGGCAAAGAGTGAGACGGACACGGTGGACTGGCGTGTCTATTGCACGTTTTGTGGTGATATCGGGTTAAACAATGATTAAAGCTTTAGGTAAACAGGGTCCTTATCATTTTTGTAACAGATGTAACAGATCTATAGAAGGGATTGTACTAGAGACACATTGTTAAACTATGTATATATTGGTCTGCATTTTCCAACACCGTTGTATTGCACTAGAGGCAGAAATTTTGCAGAAAGCTCTCTGAAACCATGAGCAAATAAAACCAAGATTGTCTACAGTGTACATGCAGGAATACCACTTGAGATAAGTTGGAAAATAAGTATTTTAGTCATTTGAGTGACTTGACCCTTTAACAAAAGCCAGTCCTCCACTCCCCCCTTGCAGTATCACATAAAATCCCATTTCAGTAAGCCAACTAACAATGATCAAGTTGGTACGTCACAGTAAAGCACCTTCTCACTGTTTGCTTCACATAAAAATAAAAGTACTACTGCACGATTGCCCCCTTCCCCCATCCCCATTTACATTCTCACCCAGTTATTGTACAAAAAGAATGCCAATATACAGAACGGTACACCTACTGTAGGGAAGAAACGAAAACCGATGACCATCCCACATGTTAAAATGCAGCAGAGATCCACAGAATACCGAGAAAGGCGTTAAAATGCAGAGATGTTGCAGTTTTGATCAGCAGTAATCTGAGTAGAGTCTAATTCAAAGTATTTTACTGCAATGTACAGCCCTGTGTGAAAGAGAATGAAAGATAAATGGGCTCTCTGATGGATCAATTGAAATAATACATCCAACAAAGGTTCTGTATCATGTAATTTGGTGAAATGTTTGGCCCTTAATGAGTTATCGTTCCCCTTTTTTCCTTTCTTCTAAGCAGCACGATGACCTTTATCAAATGACAAATTCCTCCATTTAACCTGGCTAAATGAGTAATTGCCATACTCTCTTGTTTGTGTTACCTCATGAGAATAACAGCCTGACGATAGATTCTGCTTTGGCCAAATGATTAAGTGGGCTTGATGGATTTCAAACACCATCCACGTACCAGTGACTATAATATATCTTGATAACATCTGAAACCGTACCCTCAGGCGAACACTCTGTTTACATCAATGGGCCTTTTGCCTGCAGGGACCATTGTCACCAGGGCTAACCTATGGGGAGAGTATCAAAGCAATCAAACTGACATTTTGTTAGAGCAGGATTTAGCCTGAGCTGGAAACACGCTGGATTTTGACTGGATGGCAACAAATAGTTTTTTGACAGCTTTACAATCGAGCAAAGAACTTTGTGTGTGGAGCTGTTTGTGTTCCATCTTAGCTGTAGTCCTACTTGCTTTAAAATAACAACGTACGATACATAACCTGAGGTACAAATACAAGACTGGCTTGCTGTGGTTCATTGTTATGGTATCTAGAACATAGGACCATATTGTTACTGAAAATTAATCATGTTATCAATTTGAAAGTGTTTGCAATGGCTGCATGAGAGATGGTAGCTTCTACATATGCGTATGTGTGAGAGGGTCTAATTGTTTGTGACCAACAGCTACAACCTCAGTACCGAGATGTGCTTCTGCTGATGAATTGCCTCAAATAATAAATAGTAAAAATGATAGAAAAAATGACTGAAAATAAAAATGACTTTGTTTTAATTTTCTACTAGCTCCTCTGGTCTCTCTACTGTTGCAGTAGTCCCATTTCATGCTGAGGGTCCATGACATTGTGATCCACTTCACCACAATCGAGGCAAATCCTCTTGGTATTCAGTTGTTTTAATAAAGACACAGTAAATCCACTTAGAATTTCTTGTCTTTCTTTCCCTTTTCTCCCCTCAGGGATAATCTCATGTACCCTGTGGTTTGGAAAATATTCCTTGTGGGCCATTTCTGCAGTTGTTTTAAAATGGGGACATTTTTCAAATACAGTTTGACACTGTCAGAGACGAGATCATGACCAGGAATCTATTGATTTGAGTGTCTTATATTATCACTTGGGTTAGCTTCATGCAGAAGATAGTTTCCCTTTGGGATATCCTTCACTTTTCACTCATGTTTCTTTTATTCTCATATAGATTTATTGTTTGGTCATGAATCTCACATGTGGTCTCTATGGTCTTCAAACCGTGCTCTCCATTACCCACTCGGAGCTCTCAAAACTGGGCTTCTCATCCTCACTGTCATCATACTGCAGCAGCATGCCATTAACAGACAGACTGCGTTTAGTCCAGATATTACTGATCCTGCGTGGGTAGCTGCTGCGACTCTGTGTGGCCCCTACGTGACCCATGTCAAACGAATGGCTCCGCTTTGGCTTACCCTCCTGGGGGAGCCCTAGGATGCGTCCCAGCATGGTTGTGGACTCTGCCCTTCCAAGCAATGGTTCTTTATCAGACGGTGGTGCCACAGCCACTGCCATAGCATTGGAACTGGTGGAGGGTCCAGAAGTCCCTGCGCCGTCTCTCCCTGCCCCTCGCAGCTCCAGTGAGGTGAAGGCCCCTAAAAGGTGGTCCAAGTTTGGGCGTGCTTTGGGGCCGTGCCTCCTGAACTTGTTGCTGGGCAGGGTGGTGCACTCACTGCTTTGCATGCTGTAGCGGTCACCAGCCCCTCTTGCTGTTTGGCTGTCTAACGAGTTAGAAGAGGAGGAGGACGAAGAGAGACTGCTCTGGAGCGATCCACACTTGAACTCTACCATTTCCTCACGCATGACCACCACTGTAGATTTGACCTGTGGTGGGGCACCGTTGAACCTGTTCATTCCTCCGTTCGTCTGTGAGTACGTGTTACTCACAGTGGGCAGTTTATTAGTCTGGATCCCACTCGTCACCTTATAGCGAACCATGAGGATAATGATGAAAACCAGCAGTGTGGCCACGATGATGCCACCGATGACCAGGATCATAGTGCCACCCATGAAGCCACTGTGAATAGACTGACACTGTGGGTAATCCTCAGTGGTGACAAATTGGACACAGCCTACAATATTGGTGGCAGTGAGAGTCGTAGCAGTATCATCCCAAATGGCCAAGACACACAGGTCATACTGCATCCCTGGGACCAGATTAGTGAGTACAAAGGCCCTGTTAGTCATGGGAATCATTCTGAAAACAGAAACAGAAAGACGGTTTAAAAATACAGACTTCTTGCCATAGGGATTCAAAACAAGACCATAGTACCAAAATGTTGAAAGTAGCTTGAATTAATATCTTATGCTTTGACATATCAAGGAAATAGTACACAATTAACCATGCTAAGTAGTTATTTATATGCACAAAGTAATTCAAAAAGATGACTTCATGCTCCCGGTATATACCATTTGATATGCATGCAAGCAAAAAGTAATGGGATAAATAGTGAATGGCCAATTTTTAAATATTGTTTTGGCTAAATGTAATATCTTGTACAATCCATTAAACACTCATTAAGTTGTTTCAAGTCAATTTGTTATTATTTCTGATGTTTTAATATGACTGCTTAATTAAGCTTCAGTGCTTTTCGAGTCAAACTGAAACTCAAATCTGCAGTAAGTTAATTGCCCAAGAGCTTTGCCAATGAAAAGGGTGTTTTCAAAACCTGTATTTTGTTGCATAGACAGCAACTGCTTTTATCCACTCATTCATCTGGATATTTGATCTCAGAGACATTTAATTAGTAAATCCTCTTTCTCCACATGTCAAAACATGTAATTTAAAACCCTGCGCATGACTTTCCAACTGAATGCAGTAAAGTTTTTTAAGTGTTACCCTACAAAGAAGCAAGACAATTGTAATTTGCTGTGCTTGACAGGTCGCACATGCTGCTATCAAATCCAAAACTTCAAAGTAGTTGGATTTAAAATGCTGTTTTGATGCTAAATTAATAAATCTTTGGTAATGCCGATATAACATTAGTGGACATGCACAGTTTAGAAAACACTATTTCTGTGTTTAGGATACTTTACGTATAAGACCATTAGATTTTTAAAAATCTAACACAGGAGCAGTACCATAAGGAACAGGTTGCACCTTGAAGTGACTTGTTGTGATTTGGAAACTGAACTGAATTAAACAGAATTAAATAGAATGGAAGTTGGCCATTGATCTTCTGCCAAAAAAGACAATAGATGAATATAACTGGCCTTCAATCTTGCTTTAACATCATGGTTAGAGAAGCCTCAACAAACGTTCGAATCCAAGCCATTTTTGAGGGGTGTATAAAACATAATGTATTTCAACTTTAGATTTGAAAATGTATCATATGCCAACACAATTCTGTAATTACATGTACAATGCAACAAATAATTAATTGATGTGAAACTGGAAAACACTGGGGTAAAAAAGGTTGAGACTCCAACATACCCATAAGGGCATGTATAAATAGAGTCATCAGTCATTCATCCATTGTTGCTTGCTGTTTTCCTATAGCATATGTGTTGAAAGCTTTGATCCCTCTGAAGTGCCTCCACCAAAGAGCCCAGACACCAGCAGGGCTACAGTTCATTATTCATCCTTAATTGCCTCTTTCTCCCATAACCAGGAAGAAGCTGTGCTTCCTCACATGTTCCACTGGACTCATGCAATCCCTCCTCTGCTCCACATGGCTGTGATTGATTTTTAATCATGCCATTGTTTCAGTGCAGGCAGTGGGAAACTACATCGGCCAGCTAGGGGTGCACATGTGCATGCTATGAAAGGATATCAGTATTAATTCAGAAACAGTAGTTGTCCTGTCTTTTCACATTATCTTTTCCTTCCAGTTTACAATGTGTATTCTGGTGTGCAGATAAATGAATTGCTTTAGGCCATTTTTTCTTCTGTATATAAACTACATACTGAGGATTACATTAAAGAATAAAGCATCAAATCACATGATAAGCAAAGTCAGTGCTCAACACTTAAATTAATGGCTACCAGCTGTGCACTAAAGTGAAGTTAAACTAAGAAATTCATCCTTAAATCTGCATTTAAGAACTTGCATGGTTTTAATATCTCAAACTAGCATTCAAACAAATAAATGTACATGTTTTGTTATATGGGGCGAGTCTTGACTGACAACATCAAGAATGCAATTTAAATAATCTTTTTTCAGGGAAACAATTTTGCTGCTGCGAATCACTGAATGAAAAAGGAAAATACATTTTACGAAGCATACATTAGCTTTAGAGTTGCAGTTTTGTACAAATTAGAGAATATTCATAAGGCCGTTTACTAGAACAGAGATGAGTCATCCACTGTTTCTGTCACTGGGATGGAAAAAAAAAATCTCAAAATTCATGTTGTTCCCTTTTTCTGGCATGAAAAGCTGGCACTAAGTATGAAAGCAAGGATATCAGATACACAGCTTATTATTGAATTTACAGTGATGGCAAGTTGCATTAAAAGCATTTGGGCAGAGTGATATCTTTCACAACTGCTGTGCACAGTTCTATTCTTAGAATCCTAGCTAATACCCAGCCGTTTGGATTGTCTTATTATTTCATTAGATCTGGTATTGGTGATCAGATATGGTGTTTGATAGAGAAAGTAAGCCTCAGTTATCAGTACTAGTAAGCATGAAATGAAAATGCTCAATTTCCTGCCTAAAACAGACCATAATGTGGTAATGTATAAACTTCAGCATACTAGTCATTCAATGATCATTCAGTGAGTTTCTTTAGATAAGTTAACATTAGTTTGAGGAAACAAAACACATTATGTGGCAAAAAAAAGTTGTAGGGGGTCGGGTTAGATCAGTGAGTGAGCAGAAAACCATATGCCGTATGGCCGGAGAGCACTAGGCCCAGGTTAGAGTCTGACCTGGGGCCTTTGGTGCATGTCTTCCCCTCTCTTCAAAAAAGGCCAAGTTGTCCTATAAATTGGGACTCATACTACATGAATAAATCTGATTGTTGTTACTCATCCTTTAACCTCCTAGGACCTGGCGTCCACATATGTGGACATCACATATTGGGTTGTCTAGAGTCTAGACCACAATACGAAATTTAGCTCTACGAGGGCCTAATATCCTCTTCTCAGAAACTACATCAGGTAAAAAGATAATTCTTTGGTTTTACATTCATCAGGTCCCAATCAGCCCAAATAGCAAAGACAAATTAAAAAGGCATGCCATGAAAGAGTTGGGGTCTTAGGAGATTAATGTACCTAAATGCATCAATTTAATATTAAACAGCATGGCTGTATTTTTGTATTTCCAAACAGTTATCTTTGCTAAATGTTGCCGCTTTCACTGTCTCATTTGACATAGGAAATTGATTTCACAGAGCCCAAAGATCTTCAGTAACAGTCTCCAAGCTCACACTTTATGGACTTGAGCAGCTTAAGAAGGATACATTGAAATGAGGGTCTATAATCCTTTTTCTTCTTGGATTTCTAATTAATGGTTCAGGGCAAGGATTTCACTTTGGATTGCACTTTTTACTTAAAAATGTGAACACAGCAACCCGTCAATTCTCAATTTAAAGAAAAAAATCTCAAGGAGGATTAAGAAAAATGAATGTTGATCTTCAAGTAACACTTCAAAGGAATTGACTGTCTCAAGTACTCACCCACCAAACAATTAACAGCTGAGAGAAGAAACCCAACTGTATGTATTCTAAAGCTAAAGATTACACTCAAGACTCAGTGTGCCACTTTGAAGAGAGAGTTATTAGCCCATACTTAGATGTAATCAAGTTTCAGTAATGACTCTTACCTGTAAATGAGGACTTCATCTTCAGAACAATTGTACTGAAGCTGATACATTTTGACCTTTGGAGTTGCTTTGCTAACACTCCACTTCACCAGAGCAGAAACAGCGGTCACTTCTGATACAGACACCACCTTCTCTGGAAGAGGTTTAGGCTCCCCTTTACTGATCTTAGTAGAGCTTGTTATGTCTGACAGGCCTGACTTGTTCTGGGTAGTACGGTTTGTACCATTACTCAGATGGGGGAGTTGAATGATTGATAGTTCAATGGACGCTGTAGATTCTCCTGCAGCATTAGCAGCAATGCAGGTGAATGTACCGTAGTCCTTAGATGTGGTGACTGTTATATCCAGAGTCCCATTTTCATATACAGTTGCTCTGGAGGAGTTGCTAATCAAACGGTCATCAGGAGCAACCCAATGCACAGTTGGCATTGGATCGCCAACAGCTTTGCAGCGCAAGCTAGCTGTCTGTCCCTCGAGCACAAGCAATTTGTGTGTATGTTGTGTGATTAGAGGAGGCTCACACACAAATTCCTCCTCACGAACAGACCAAAAGTAGCGTCCCTTTAGACTGGCAGGAGAAGCACAGGTTTCCATATCGTCCTCCCGTTCCAGTCTCCGAAGCCAAAGCACTTCACAATTGCAGTGCAAAGGGTTTCCACCAAAGCTTAGTGAGAGCATAGGTGCATATGGTGTGCTCATCACCACATTGCTCTGGGAGCGTGCAAAGATAGGATCTGGAGGGAGCTTCTGAAGACGATTAGAGGTGAGGTCCAAGCGTGCCAGTTTGTCGAGATCTGTAAAGGTCCCCTCAGCAATGAAGGAGATGAGGTTATGGTCCAGACTCATTTGATGGAGGTTAACCATCTTTCGGATGGCCTCCCAAGGCACAGTGCGCAAGTTGTTATATGACAGATCAAGATCCTCCAGTGTCAGTAACAAGTCATCAAAGGCTACTTTAGAGATACGGCTCAGTTGATTGTTGTTGAGGATCAGGTGTTGCAGGTTAACCAGTCCTCGGAGGTCATCTGGTCCCAGTTCAGTCAACCGGTTACTATCCAGGTGTAACGATCTTAATGTCTCCAGGTCAATAAATGAGAAAGGCTGGATGTCGCTGATGGTGTTCCGGGACAACGTGAGATCCACCAGGCCTGTCATATTGGCAAAGTCCAGGGTGGAGATCTTTAGGATGAAGTTGCCACCCAGCCGGAGCTCCACAGTTCGCCGGTCAATGTCTGGTGGAACAAAGAGCAGACCTTTGGAGGGGCATAAAGTCCCCAAGGACTCTGACAAGTTCTGGCAGACACAGTATTTGGGACATGCATGGACCATCGTAACTGCGGTTCCCAGGAACAGGAGACTGATGACCACTTTGTCCATGTTAGCTTATGCAACGAGGACCTGAAAAAAAGAAAAGCAAAACAAAAGATAAGCTTTATGATCAAAACTAACGTTATACATTTTCAGTTGCATGTAACTTAATGAGCCTGTGTGATCATGGATTGTGTACAGGGTTGGGAGGCAGAAATCCAGTTCTGACAGAATGCCAGTATAGTCTTTGGACCATATGGTCCAAAAGCGCTTGTTTAATGAGCAGGTCTGATATTTATACTTAAGACTGTTTTACATTAATATTCTCTATTATAACCTTCATATGCATGTACTTTGCAATGCAAAGAAGGTGTGAGAAATCACACGAGGATTGTCTGAATGAAGCTCAGGATTAAACTGTGCTAAGAAGCTATTTTTAATGACGCACATGCTTATAAGCTGTCATTACAGATACCGACATACATGCAGTGGAAACTAGTTCAAGTGTAGGGTACCTGAACTAGGTTCCACAACAAACAATGCATGTTGTGTTCTTTCTTGGGATGTTACACAATTTTGTTAAGACAAAATGCAAAAGTTACACGAACTACTCCTCATTTACTACATTTTTTTTATGCTGTGCGCTATTTATGATTTTTTTCTCATTTGTTTCCTTTTCTTATTGTGTCTGCACCATTGTAGTCAGAAATTTGGAAAGAATATTACACAAACCACATGTGTTAGACATGGAAAAAGTCAGCACGCCTCTGTACGTTAACAATCCTCACACCTGGCTGACTCCTCCAAATGGATGGCCACACTTGACTTCATACAGCGAGCTTTTAATTCCCCCAGATATTTGTATCATTAATTCCTAATACACTCAAAACCTAAAAATCAATTTCAATCATCCCTTTTTTTTTTACATGAGCAATTTTGATTAATGGGAAACTCTGCCTTGCAGTCTGCATGGTTCTCTCTAGAACCATGGAAGCATGGTTGTAATTTGTTTTACATTAACTACATCAATTCAGATATTCATTATTATGTATGTGTGAGGTGCTAGTTGCAGCATTGTGACTTATGTTTGACTACCTTGCAACATCTCTTCATGTGTAGGCTGTGCTTTTCAGTAACTTAGAAGAAGAAATATATGACTATTTTTTCAAATTTACAAAATCAATCTGTAATCATATCACAAATGCTTCCTCATTTGGGTTGTGTGCCACAGTGAAATGCTTAGAAAGCTCATGCAGAGTGTTGTTTTTTTTGTTATGTTTTTTTTTTTTTTGCAATAATCACTTTCACCAAAGAAGTTGATTAAAAAAACAAAGCAAAAAACAGTGGAACTACCAACATTATGATCCACAGTTTTGATGAGGCCAAATGGTACTATAAATCTTTTAATACCAAGAAGAAATACAACACAAAATTCTTAGAAATAAAAAAGCAACATGTTATAGATATATGAGAAAGAGAGAGAGAGAAAGAGAGATTTCTCATTTTTCAGTTCACGCAGCTAAAGTCCTTTTCTTAATTTTTAGTGTTGTAGAAAAAAGCTACAGTGTGGTGCTAATATTTATGCTACAGACATTTCTGAGGTTTCACTGTTTGAATCCTAATGTAACAATTTAAAACCAGCACTCTTTAAAACTGCGAAACTCGGTGCAAAAGATTTTTCTTTTAGCCAAGTACTTGCAGGCTGTATGCCTACTGTTCTGATCCTCTCAGCGCTCTGAAGCTGATCCCCAAAAGGCCTCATGGTGAGAGCTGTCAGTGATGACAGACAGGTTGTCTCGTGGACTCATTTTAATGGACACCATCTAGAAACAGCAGCTGAAAAGCCCTATAACCTCAAAGAATCTTCCTTTATATTTTATGTGTCGTTTTTCATGGGCAGTTTTTCACTTGAAGGGTACAATTTTGGTGGGTAAATATTATCAAAAAATATAGAAATTCATATGTATTAGATATAATCTCAGAAAGATTCCTAGTATTATCCACATATATTCAACGTGTATTACGGTTACTGGGCAGAGAAGTGCAGGCAGAAGAGATTCAGAGGTGACCTTTCAGGAAGAGAAGAGGTTCACTCACAAAGGCGTACAGTATAAACCGTGGACCATGTTTGAGGCCCATATCTATTTACTCATGACCTTTACCAAACCTGCACCACCATCTAAAATTTACTGTAAGGGACAAAATAACAGACATACCAACAAGGGTATGTTCTATACAGTTCCACAGTACATTAATGATGCTGACATATAGTTCAATAAGAAGAGATCATTAGAAGCATGGTTTATTTATGTACAGAATTCAATTTGAGGTATTTGGTTAGACCTCGATGGCCCAGCACAGCAGAACAGAATCCCAGCTATGATAGGGATTAGGGCAGGACCCCCTAGAGTCTAGACGCTGGTGGTGGAGATGAAGATAGAGTCTTGAATAGAGCCTGAGTTATTCGAGGTGGTGATCGGGGAGAGGGTTGGTTAGAGGAAGGGAACTGCAAGACAGACGCACAGTGAGATTTAAGGTACGCGGAGTCAAGGCTGATTGGCCGGCAGAAAGCCGATTGGACTAGACCAGTGATGTCACAATCAGCTTGACAGTGTGGGACAGTGGAAGTTATGTAAAACTTAGATTAGGTGCCAACACCTGAGAAGCAGACAGATGAGTGACTACAGATGTTCCTCATTGATCTTACAGATAAGCTTCTGTGAAATTAATTCAACTTACGACACAACAATAGAAGTCGAACAAATAGACACAAAGTGTTCATCTACTTTGTTAGATATTTTATAGACATATATTTTATTGTAGTATTTTTGTAATATACTATATGTCTATGATTGCATCAAAAGTTCAGAGATCTTTTAGCTCTGGGAAATATTCACCTTTTCAAATCTTTCGTTTTGGTTGCTGTCTTTGTATGAGACTCTTTATCCACTTTATGTAAAAATGCCACCCATATGTTACATTTAAACAGAATTCATGAGCAATAAAAGCAATTATTTTTTCCCGAGGCACGTAATATGGAATATTATTGCACCATTAGGAGCTACTGCTTGAGCTCCTTGAATTTAGTTTCATAAATGAATTTATAAATCTATGAGCAAATGCAGTTTTTAAACGTCTTGTTCTTGTATTTTATCGGTAAATGTTCCACACAGTAATGTGGAGAAATGCCAGATTACAGTAATTAATGTTTTTTTTTTTCTTGTTTTGTTCATTTGCTGAAAGAGAACATGTATTATTGGAAATGATTTTCTGTCAGAAACAATTCAGAAAGAAATCTTATTGACTGCTAAAATGCATTGATTGGACAGCTGATGGCTTTCAGTCAGTTTGAACTAGATTGAAGATAAAGTATTATTCAGGTGACCCCAAACTTTTTATACATTATAAACTGAGTAAGAAATCTAGCTGAAAGCAAGGTATATACTTAGTTGTATGGAGACTAGTTTAACTACAGTATTACAGTATTACTACAGTATTAGCATTGGTTAGCTTAACATAAAGAACAAACTGTCCAAAGGAAACAAAACTGGGCTGATTAATACATTAATACAATCTTTCTAAAGGCTATGTCATGTTTTGGAAAAAGATTGTGACTTGGGTTGAAATACAGCCATTCACAACAAGTTGATGTGATGCCTTAATTCAATGGTTTTAAAGACGCAAAGAGAAGACACTTGAATCAGAAGACTAAATCCAAACACCATACTTTTAATCCAACAAGCTAAATATCATTAACAGGTGACTGAAAATGAAAATGTAAAGTCCAAAAAACAGGCAAAAAACAATAAGATGCACAAAAGAACAAAAATACACAACAAAAATGTAGAAACTGGGAAAACACAAAGAATACTAGTTTGAAAGGAGAGAATGACATAATGGTGGAAACCCTTAACCCTTAACTTAGTACAAAACACAAAGATGATCAAGCAAGTTGATGGTAAAAGATTGTGACGATAAGACATGGAGAACAATAATTGTATAATACAACCTAATGTAACAGAATTAAAACCCCATAACTATGACAATGACCGAGCATCTTTTTGTGACCCACTGTGAACGAGACCATTCTAACCATTGGTGTAAGGAGTGCATCAGCCCAACAATGCAAAGAAGACATTGTGCCTCTCTCTCAGATGCCAGAGGCTTTGATATAAAGACAGTATCCCACACCCTAGTAATGAGGACACGCTTAAATTAGGGGAACACAAACACACAAGGACAAAAAGTTTGTCAAAAATAAGGTCTATTTTGTAAGTGGAAATTTGTTGTACAAGGGTAACCATCACATGAACATGCTTACACAGCTGTGTTGCCATCTGTTAGACAAAAATCCGACTGTACTATATAGGTTGAGTTAGCCCTGAGGGAGATGACGGTCACTCTGATGGTTTTGTCTTCCCTTGGCACCAACAAAGCCTTGTACGCATCAGTTTAATTCCTAATGCAGGTAAGCCAGGCTGTAAACGTCAGGACAATCTATGTTATACAAATTTTCATTCTTTCTTCGACCCATTTGTCGTGTTAAAAGAAAAAACAATAAAACTTCTAGCTGAGTCCTTTCACTGAGATTTGTCCATTTTTGCCTCAGTTGTCAGCTTTGTTCACAAATCTTCCAATACATTGCTGTCTCCTTAACAACGAGAAGAGAGCGCAGTGCAGACGGAGCTGGACTCTCCAGCATTACATCTTTCTCTTTCTTCTGGTATGCTTTGATAAAACATGTCACAGGCTGACAGCTCAGTAAGTCTGACTGTGCTACATGCAATCCACTGATGTCATGTTGCATCATTTGTGGGTGCTGACGCTCAAAGTTGTGACAACAGCTCTCTCTCACTACCGTACGGAGCCGCCAGCACATATAAAGGTGCCTTACGCAGGTGTAAAATGACAGGTTAAGCAGTCTTCTTCCTTTCACGTAATATAAATCTTTTGATTTGATTCTTAGAATATATATGTGAGAGTATGTACAAGCATAAGAGGACAACTGCTCACAGGATTTAGAAAGTGAATTTTGCAATTCTGGAATAATCTCGACAAAAGATGGAAATTATCAGAGTGAAAAATGGAGG